TGAGCATGAAGACTGAGAGAAATGGCAAGAACGATGCCTTCTGCAGTTACACTGTTTAAAATTCTCTTGCGATGATGAAAGCGTGTTGTGAAGAGGGAAGTGCTGTCCCCAGGCTGGAGGGATTGTTTGCAGAACATATTAGATACTTAAAGATTTGATGGCCACGGCCATGGGCAAGTTCCCTCCTAAGAGATACCGAATAAACTAATTCAACACATGGATAGAGTGTCACTGAATGAACCGCACTCTGCTTTCATCAACCATAACACCAGAGATGTTTTAGAACAAGAACAAGTCTGTTTTATGGAAGTACTGATTGCACGATTTGCAACAGAAAAAAAAAAGGCCATTATTTTGACTTATATGAGAATTGCGATATGATTCACGATAAGAGGAAACGCTCATGTTTTAATAATTATTTTCATTATAATTGAAACGTTTCAGAGGATCCAAAACAAATGTGTTGTTAAGTCTTTCGAATACAATTTGTAGGGCGGGTATCTCCGCAGTTCCACAACACTTCACGCAGACTGGTATTTTTCAAATATTCTGTTATAATCATTTGAAAGTGGAGCAGCCATAAGCCTGGAAATAAATTGACATTTAACAACTTCTGGTTCCCTTGTCTTGTCGAAAACGGTGGTTGCTAACAATTCACTAAAAGTCACTACTAAACATCATCACGCCGTCAAGAGTCTGCTTTTATCTTAGCGGTGGTGATACGCAGCCATGCGACCATGATGTAGCAGATATAGCCTAGCGTTAGCTTTTTACTTAACATGTGAGATTACACTGCTATACAATATTGTGATTGAGATTCCATTTTGAGCTTGTCAAATATATGAAGTGCCATCATAACAGTGTGCTCATGATCAAGACTAGATGCGGAATCCAACACTAAAAAGATAGCAACCAGGTCATGTACGTAAATGTGAAAAGTGATGTTATGCTGCAAGAGGCCTTCTTTAGAGTGAAACTAACAAGGACACCTCGAAGGTCCTTGGACAGAAGGGGCTCACGAGACTCATTTTTATTGTGTTTCTTGGATGAAATGATCGTATAACTTTTCCCCAGCCTAAAAAGGTTGCTTGTGTCCTGCAGAATAGGACTACATTTTGGCAGATAATGTGAATCTCTGTGAAGGTGCTACAGGGTCAGCAATAAAAATGTATCATAAAATGAGCGAAATGATACCGCACTGGAGCTTTCTAGCACCGCCCGAATTGTGCTTCTTGTCTTTTCTCAAGTTCTACGTGTCTCAGTTCCTCAAGGACAGGATAACAGACTGCAGACGTGTTAACCTCCGCAGCCCTACGAGTCCGTGGTGATTAATGGAACAGAATAATTAATTCAGCCCGTGGAATAGAGAAAATCAATCAGCACTCATGCAGTGTGGGTCTCATTTTCTCTATGTATGGAAATATCTGATAACATTTTATGTAAATTATTTTTTTTCTTGGAGGAAGTAAAGATTTGTATGTGTTGCAGTGTGTCATGGATGTAGTGTAAAGGCGTGAAGCGCGGTACCATCTGATTACATCACCACTGTCTTTCTGCACAAACTCTCTTCTTGGTTATATTTGCATACAATAAAGAGGCACGCATTAACTCTTTGGATTGAGTTCATTGTGATTTTCAAGGTTATGCTAGTGATGTAGGCACGAGCACTTTAAATGATTAGGTTGGACCCTCTAAATGGGGTTCATGGCAGCTGTCTATAGTGGCTTTATCTCCCTGCCTGCATGTCATTAGTGAAAATGAATTGGAACTTGCTTGGTAATAATTATACTTAATTATATGATCAAATCCGGAAAAGTTATGCCTAATTGATTCCTTGTCTATAGTTGGACGATTTTGACGCTTTCTAGTTGCTATTTTTACACAGCTTTGAAAAATGACTGCCACATTTCTCAATTCATGCAGGATTATCTCTTGCCTTTCAGCTATGTGTCATGCGGCATTATCTCTTGCTTTGTATGCTAATTTGTTTTTAGGATTTTTTCACTTGTGTCTGATTCATTCAATTTCCCTGCCATTATTTTATTGTTTAATTTAAAAAATAAAGAGCAAGCAGCTGCCATTTAGTTCAGTAATAACAAAGTTGATTGTCTCTCATGTCTTTGTTTTACAGACGGACTTACAGACCCATGTGAGCGCTCGAGAAGTTGTCCGCCGCTTCCAGAACAAGATTCCCCCTGGCCCCGCTCCCAGTACCAGCGCAAATCCTAATGCCAATCCAAGTCCCAATTCCAAATCAGCTCCCAATCAAACGTATTCATCCAATTCAATCACCAGACAAGGAGATCAGATCCCAGAAAAAGGACCAGATGTTGGGGCACAATATATGCAATCTCCCCCTGAACATAGCCAGGTAGGCGGTATTCTGTAATGTTATCTTTTTAGTCATAAACTGTACACTACGGTGATTCCGTGAGTAATGGCTGAGTTAATCACGACATATTATGGTCATTTTCAAGCTCATTTTGTTTTCAATTCTAACACTAAGCTTTGCACACTGTGAAGCTGACTGTTGAGCGGCCCGACCAAGCAAGGAGGCAGAGGCAGAACGTCCAAAATACAACCCGGTGTGGGCATTTATTAAATCATGAACACATGACACACAGCCTCAATCCTGCTGTTTCTCCCTGAGCCACAGCCACAAGGATCTCTCACACACACTACCCGCCAACACAGACAGGGAAACAGAGCCTAAATACCCACACACTAATCAGCAATTAGACACAGGTAGGGGGGGGGGGAGGAGACAACACAGGGCACCAGGTGAACATAATCAGGAGTAACAGACATGGGGAAAGGGAAACACTTTTCAAAATAAAAGCACGTGCAATAGTACAAGCCCCGAAGCCGTCAGTCCACAGTGACGAAGTTACCTTCGTCACAAAGCTATTGGACGCCTTTTACTATTTCTATACCTGGAAATAAGATATTACAAATGTTAGAGATTGCACTCACTATCCTTTAATGGCTTTGGGAATAAATGATATGAATACAAATGTGTTTCTTAAGGTCAAAGCCGTGTAATCAAGCACTTCTCTGTCCTGCATGAGCTTTTCTTTGCTTTTGTTTTATAATTCGGTCCCACTGTTGCTTATAATGTCCACAATTTAGACTCATTCTACCATCAAAATATCCTTGCTGGAATGAAATGAAGTACATTTACTCAATTATGTTACTTTTTGTAGGTACTTTAATGCTATTCCATCACATTTTGGAAACCAATATTTACTTTTTTTCTCCACTATATTTACCTTGCTGCTTTAGTTAGCTAACATCAAATATAAATAATCTAATAATCAAACATTGACATAAAATCAAAGGGTAAAATATCCAGCACCAAAATACAAAGTCACTCAAAAAGTTCCACTTTAACAGCTTTCAACATAATCTTAATCCAGTAAATCAAATATATGATTCTGAAATTGGCCATTACGAATAACGAGTGCTTTTACTTTGGGTTACTCAAGTATATTTTGATGCTCCCCATACTTTTGTACAGTAAGTATAACATCTGAGCGCCTCTTCCACCACTGTCATTGTAATGTTTATTTCCTGTTCTTTTTGTCTCTTCTTTTGCCCAGGCTGCAGGAGGTGTCCGATGTGGCTGTGATGCAGGTCTCTGCTCTTCAGGCCCGACAGCAGAGCAGAGAGAAGGAAGTGGAAGCTTTGAGGAGACAGATACAGGACTACCAGGTATTATACAGGACTACCAGGAATTATACAGGACTACCAGGTATTATACAGGACTACCAGGTATTCTACCAGACTACCAGGAATTATACAGGACTACCAGGTATTCTACCAGACTACCAGGAATTATACAGGACTACCAGGAATTACACAGGACTACCAGGTATTATACAGGACTACCAGGAATTACACAGGACTACCAGGAATTACACAGGACTACCAGGTATTAAAGAGGACTACCAGGAATTCTACAGGACTACCAGGTATTATACAGGACTACCAGGAATTGTACAGGACTACCAGGTATTATACAGGACTACCAGGAATTATACAGGACTACCAGGAATTACACAGGACTACCAGGTATTATACAGGACTACCAGGTATTATACAGGACTACCAGGAATTATACAGGACTACCAGGTATTATACAGGACTACCAGGAATTATACAGGACTACCAGGTATTATACAGGACTACCAGGTATTATACAGGACTAC